GTCCAAGGGAAGATACTAGTTGGAAGTGTATGAGCTCACAAGGTGGACAAATGGAGAGGCTGGAGGCAGATGGTAAGCAAGATTTCAACATCACTGATAAATGGCAGTCACTGATGACGCAGGGCCATTTTTTTAAAAACAGGGGTGGGAAACCTTTTTTGGTTTGGAGGCCACTGACCCACAGAAAAAAAAGTCAGTGGAGTGCCAAACAAGTGAAGGGGGGGAACCCCACCCTCACTGACGTGGCCCCCTGACTCAGAAAGATGATGATACTCCCCACATCCTCCTTGTACACTAGTCTAGGGGGGCCCAGCCTAGTAGATTTTGTGCACTCCAGACCTGCAGTGGGGCTGCCGCACCAGCACCAGCTCCACAAAGCTGGGAAAAGGGCCTGATCCTCGGGGGGGTGGATCCAGTCAGCGTGAGGTTCCCCATTCTGGTTTTAAACAGCAGCATATGCCTTTTCCACAGAATTTCTATCTAAATATACATAGTGTATTTTGTTAACTCTATTCAGTAAAGTATTGACATTGTATAAAGGAAAGTTGTTTTTCCCCCAAGATCATCATATAAATAAAATGAAATTTACCTATCTGTGTATCTTCTTGTATATTCTTACACAACTAAGAACTCCACAGTCTTAAAGTTTCATAATAATCCTTTAGACATGGTCCACACATTGCTCGGTTTTCAGATCCTGAGAATACACTCGCATCTAATAAGCTTTATATCACACACACACACACACACACACACACACACCCACCCCCACCCCATACCATTGTACTCGTGGTTGGATTCTGGAATCCTCTATTTATACCATCCTGTTGTGGCTCAGGTAAGGTGGCAGAGTGGTTCAATTCTGATGAGTGTGGAGATTCAGTGATACATTTTCTGGACGAATTGATTTCAGCCTAAAAGGAATATATTTGTACATTTCAGATGAGAAATGAAATTAGTTATCATACACCATAATGTGATTTGTTTGATCTATTATGGAATATCTGTTTCAACATATACAGCATATGAGATTTACTGAATCCATATCAATCTACAAGCAAATTGTGTTAACTATATACAGTGTTTCTGGAATTTATTCAAGAGTTGCAATTCTGAACAACTTTCACAAGGAACAAGTTTACTGATAAACAAAAAAATTTAAAAAATCTGAAATCACATTTCTAATTTTTAGTTTCACTTGCTTGTATATAATGGTGGATGTTAACATGAAAAAGGTGCAGAATAAAGAAAAAAATTGGAAGCATTCTTCAGAGGGGGAAAATGTTACCCCAAAAAATGCCAAACATTTTTTTAAAGTTTTATTTCTTACATGATCTCACTGACTTTGACAGCACTTTTAGCACTGGTTGTTTTAAAGTAGTTTTTCTAATGTATTACCTATATAAAAGCTTTCCCTGAGCAATAGCCCTTCATGTTTTTGACTGCCACATCTTTTTCTTGAAAAAAGCTTAACTGGACCAATGCAGAAGTCAACTCTCTAGGTCTTGCTTATTTTCTCTTTTCTTACTACAACCAACCATGATGAGACTAACAGCAAACGGCTGCCTATTTAAAGTTTACTATAGAAGTGCAAAAAAAGTCAGATCTTTAGATCTTTGATTATCTGACCAATACGTTCCATTTCCTTCACATTTAGATAAGCTGGCTTTCTCATAGTTCAATTATATTACGTACACTACTGGTTTAAATGTAGGTCAACACAACAGTAGCATGTTATACAGTGCATTTCACAGTAAGAGAGTTTGGACATGGGACTTTGAAAACAATTAAGGCTTTTCCTGAGGAGCGTACAGTAACAGTTCTTACTTATTCCTAAAGCCAAGACAGAATTAATCAATTATAAGAAACTGCAATGATTTTTACACCTCTCTATTGCAATTACAACAATTTCTGTCTGTGTACCAAGAGTCTGTGTCAGACAAATGTTAATAAGAATATAACCATCTCCTTCCATCTGACCTGGTGCTGTGAGCCAGGTAAGTCAGAAAACTGGAAACCAGAAGGATTCCTGGCTTTGGCACACTGGTTACATGGATTTTGACAAGTCACTTAAAGGCAATATACATAGAAGAAAAAACTGGGATTGTGTCCTTTTCTGCTTCTGATACGCAAATGCAATTTGAAAGGATTTGCGGGAGGCTTGTCCTATACTTTAGAAATTCAGGTCTTGCTAATTCATTTTCTACCTAGAAGTCTACATACAGTACAGAAAGAAAAGATAGTCCAGTAGTTAGGTTGCTACCCTAAAACTTGGAAGACCTGGGTTCAATTCCCTTCCCTACCACAAATGTCCTGTGTAACTCTGGACAAGTCACTTAGTATCTTTGTGCCCCAGTTCACCATTTGTAAAATGGGGATAATAGTACTTCCCTGTGGTGTGTGGCTAAATATGTACATAAAGAGCATGAGACACCAATACCCTGATGACAGGTGCCACATAATTCTGATAAGTAGATAGATATCTTTAAAAAATGTGAAATCTCATTGAGTAGAAGCAGTAAATGAAGGGTTCATACCAGTTTCTGGACATTCCAGCCATTCAGTTAACTAAAGTCTTTTCTCAGTAGTTAACTCTTTAGACCTAATCCTACTTGTTTTGCTTGCAAAAGTTAAAACCATAGACAGTGGGTCCGAGAGAGTCCCTACGAAGTTTAGAGAAAAAATAAATGAATTGCCAGGACAGCAAATGGAAACAGAGTGTGGGCTTTTGAATTGGAAGCAGTGGTTTCTTGTTCTTGTTGTGTGGTCAGAGGAAAGCCTGGGAGGACATGAAATAAGTCAGGGAGCCAGGTATGAA